GTCTTTAAAGGTCTGTCACTTATTTGTTAATAACAATAACTAGTCTTTACTGAGCACTTAGAAAGTACTAAACACTTCTGTGGGTGTGAAACAAATGGTGAAAATATGAATCAGTCACTCTTATTATACTAATGAAATTACTTATTTTAATCAAGTCATGTTCGTGTCCTGATTTATTTGTTGTATCAATGATCATTGTGATACTTGAAAAAGAAAAAAGAAAAGAAAGTACTAAACACTTTATATAATCTTTAGGACTTCCCCAAAGCGGGTGTACTCTTAGGAAGCATGTCAGAAAAAAGGTGAAGGGTCCTGGAGGCTGAGGCAGGAAGATTGAAAGTTTGAGGTCAACCTGGATAACCTAGCGAGACCGTGTCTCCAAAAAAATTAAATAAATAAATGAATAAATAAATAAAAAGGGCTGGGGATGTAAGTGGTAGAGCACTTGCCTAGCAAGAGTGAAGCCCTGGGTTCAGTCCCCTGTACAGCAGGAAACAGAAAGTGAAGGATCTTGGGACATCACCCAGGAGACAGAACCAGAGCTTGTTCTTCACTGTTATGCTTTCATTCATTAATTCAACAATTATTAAGTTTTTCTGTTCTAGTGTGAAGTATCATTGGTACAGTCTTTAAGAACCCAGACAGGAGTCAAATGGGGGCCAAACAGGGCTGGGGATGTGGCTCAAACGGTAGCGTGCTCGCCTGGCATGCACGAGGTGCTGGGTTCGATCCTCAGCACCACATACAAATAAAATAAAGATGTTGTGTCCACTGAAAACTGAAAAATAAATATTTAAAAAACAAAACAAAACAAAACAAAACAAAAAAACAAATGGGGGCCAAACAATAGACAAGTGCAGAAACAGAGAGACGCTGTCTCACAAAAGAAATGTAGTTGGGTGCAGTGCTACTTGGGAGGCTGGAGGAGGAGGATCATCAAGTTTGAGGCCAGCCTGGGAAACTTAGTGAAAATCTGGTGACAAGAGGGCTGGAGATGTAGCTTAGTGGTATATCACTTATCTAGAATATGGAAGGCCCTGGGTTCAATCTTTAGTACCACAATAAATAAGCAATTAGATAAAATTTTTTAAAAAGATACATACAAATTGTTAAGAAATTTTTCATGTACATCATATACCAGATGGTGTAAAAGAGAGGGAAGGCCTAGTTGAGATGTGATGATTGGCAGCAAAGACTTCTTTGAGCGATCAAGCCAAGATAGAAGGAAGAAGGGAAAGTAACTGAAAAAAGGAGTCCGGGCTACACCTCAAGCTGAGTAAACAGCAAGTACAAACAACCTAAGGCCAAAAGCCTTCAGATAGAACTGGGGATGGGAGTGGCTCCACTGCAGAGAGTTTGTAGGAGAGGCCCTGGGTTCTGTTCCATAGCACACTGCACATCAAAGCATGCAGATGAAGACACTTGATAAATCTTAACTTCAAAACAGACAGAGGCTTTGTGAGCTTGGATGGGAGGGAACTACAGTTAAGACTGGGGAAGAAGGCAGAGATCAGATCAAGTCAGGCCTTGTAGATTGGGTTTGGATTCTTATCCTAAGAACAATAGAAGCACAGAAGGCCTTAAGTAGGGGAAGCAAATGACATTTGATTTTTTGTATGTGTGTGTGTGTGTTTTTACTGGAGACAATAAATGGTTGCAATAGTTTAGATAAGAGACAGGTGGGAAAGATTGGGATGTAATGGTAAACGTGAAGAGAAGTAAATGGATACAAGAAATACTTTGGAGATTGAACAGATTTTTGGATTTTATGAAATTGTTTTGAATAACTGAGTGATGGTATTTTTTATTCCAGAGGAGTTTTGGGAGAGCAATAGGTTAGGTTAATACAATCAAGAGCTCTAGGTTGGACATACTAAATCTGATATGCCAACTGAGTGGAGATATCTAATAGGTAATTGAATGTCTGAGTTGGAAACTCAGAGGAGACACCTACTCTGGAAATATAAATTTGGATATTTTCAACATTTAGATGGTGTTTGAGTCTGTAAATAGGTTATCTAGGCAAGGAGAAAGCATTGTTAAAGAAGGTCCAGAACTGAGCTCTGAAATACCTCAACATTTAGAGGTCCTACCAGGGAGGAGAAGAAATGATCAGTAAGGTAGGAAAAAAATTTAAGAAGTGCAGTGCCACAGAAGGCAAGTGGAGAAGTGTTTTGTGACAGAGTGCCATTGTTGTTGAATGTTGCCAAAGGGTAAAAGGAGACCAATGTAGAGAAGTGTTTATTGGGGGTGCACACCTGTAATTCCAGTGACTCTGGAGGCCGAGACAGGAGGATCACAAGTTCAAGGCCAACCTCAGCAATTTAGCAAGACTCTTGGCAAGTTAGTGAGACCTTGTCTCAAAACTTAAAAAAACGAAGGAGAAAAAAAAACAACACTTCAACAACAACAACAACACTACAAAATGGGATGTAGTTCAGTGGTAAAGTACCCCAGGGTTCGCTTCTCAGTACAAAAAAAAAAAAAAAAAAAAAAAAAATATATATATATATATATATATATATGAATGATTTGGCAAACAGGGACTGTTCATATCATTGATAACATTTTAGGCAGAATGGTGTAAAGAGGATGCATTAAAGAGGAAATGGAAGTAATGAATTAGAGACCATGCATATATACAACTTGTTTTAGAAGTCTTATTGCAAAGAGGAGCTAAGAAGTGGGAGGATAGGATAAAGGGAAGGATTTTTTTTTTTTTTTTTTGTAGTGCCTGAGATGGATATCAGGATCTGACACTTGCTAGGTAAGTGCTCTACCATTATGCTGCATCCTCAGCCCTATTTATTTTTAGGATGGTAATGATCCAACAGAAGTAACCATAATACCATAAAGAAAAAACCTTGAGAAGGCTAGAGTGGGTGGAATCCATAGCACAAGGGGACAAAAAACATATCTTTCACAGTATCAGGAAGAAAAATAGAGAAATTAAGGCAAATGCAAGCAGGTTTGTGACTTTCCATTTAGATGGGAATATTCCTCTCTAATGACTCCTATTTTCGGAAGGAAATATGAGGAGAGGTTGTTATGAAGGAATAAGAGAAGAAAGTGTAGGGTTTTGAAGAGAAAGCAAGGGGAAAAAACATCTTTGGAAGTGGAAAAGTGAATTTATTAGAGAAATGCAGTAAGATTGTCAGGTAAAATCTCATGCCCTTCTGAGGTTTATGGGCAAGAATATAATGTGAAAGCTTCAGGTCTCATTAAAGATGGTGAATTGTTGGATTCAACTAGGATTCAGGTTATACCAGGTTTTATTTTATTTATTTATTTTTTTGTACAGGGGATTGAACCCAGGGATGCTTAACCACTGAGCTACATCCCCAGCCCTTTTTATTTTTTATTTTGAGATAGGGTCTCACTAAGTTGCTGAGGCTGGCTTTGAACTTGGGATCCTTTTGCCTCAGCCTGGGATTATAGACATGTGCCACCATGTTCACCATAGGTTTCATCAGTTTAATAGATAAAGAAAATAAGAATTTTATGTGTTTTTAGGCAATTATAACATGTAAAGGTAAGACATTTAATGGTTTGGAGGTTTTTAATTTATTGTTTTTGCTTTTTTTTGCAGTATTAGGTGTCCAGTCAGGGGTGCTTTACTACTGAGCTTCATCCCTAATCCTTTAAAAAATTTTTATTATATTTTTGGTCTTGGGATTATAGCTCTCCACTGAGCTACATCCCCAGTCCTTTTTTTTTTTTTTTTTGTGATTGTGTTGCTAACTTGCTCAGGCTTCACTAAATTGCTGAGGATGGCTTTGAACTTGTGATTCTCCTGCCTCAGTCTCTCAAGTTGCTGGGATTACAGAAGTGCCCTGCCCCACCCCACTCCCCAGCGGTTTGGAGGATTTGATGAGCTCCAAATGTCATGAGGTTACTACTGTGAGTCAGAAGTAAAAAAGAAGTAGTAATAAGTGAGAGGGATGCTTGAACTATAGATTATAGATATGGTGTAGTTATTGGGAATAATAAAACTAGGAGGATGTGCAGAGGATGGGGGAGTAGAAAACTAAAACGGGATAGAAGAAAAAATTGCTAGCGGTGAGAAGATAAAGAATTGACAGAGTGCTTGGTGGGTCATCCACATGGATACTGGGTGATGAGCAGAAACAGAAAGGAAGACAAGGAGCTAACACTGAGGAAATATCTCCCAAAAGGTCAATATGTGGTAGTAACTAGGAGCAGTATCGAAAGCTATGGCTAGCCAAGAGTGGTGGCTCGTGCCTGTAATCCCAGCTGTTGGGGAAGCTGAGGCAGGAGGATCACCAAGTTCCAGGTCGGCCTGGGCAGTTGAGCAAGACTCTGTTGACCCTGTTTCAAAATAAAATTTAAAAAGGCTGTGTGTGTGTGTGTGTGTGTGTTTCAATTGTAGTGTGCAAGGCCCTGGGTTCAATCTCCACCACACACACACACACACACCGCTTCTTTTTTTTTTTTTTGAACAAAGCTTACACACCCACTCCAGCCTAATGCAAACTTTTTATACAGTATTCCTATGAGTTTTCCAAGTAAAAATCAGTAATAGTTGAGTATGAAACCGGTAAATTTTCTCTAATGCTCAGCATGAGATAAGGGTAGATAGTGTGTACTGAACTTAACTTTCAAACAAAGAACATATGTCTTTTTGGGCAAGAATAGCTGACCACTCCTAAAGGTAAACAAGGAAGAAAGGAGACCTCTAATGCCTGTCTCCCAAAGAGCTGCTAAGGCCCTGGTTATTTGCTTTCACAGAAAAATTGACCTGGGATAGCCATTCAAATTTCTCACAGCAAATCACAGTGGCCTAGAGCCAACTCCTTCTACGCTCATTGGCCAGCTGGAAACTTCACCCCCCCTCCATGCCTCCCGCCTCTCACCCCGGAGCCAATGGGAAAGATTTATGGTTCGTAACGTAGTGTCATCAAGTACCGTACAGGCAATTGGCTATTGCCGCAGTCGATCGAGGCGTAGGCGGGGCTGTGGCAAGCTGGCCTATATAAGAGGAGGACAAAGGCGGCGCGCCGCCTGTGTCATCCGCCATTTTGTGCGAAGCAAGGTGGCCTCCACGTTCCCCGAGCGTCTTCTTCGTTTCTGCCTCGACCGCCCCTTGATCACAGACATGTCTCGGGATCGGTTCCGGAGTCGCGGCGGTGGCGGTGGCGGTTTCCACCGTCGCGGAGGAGGCGGTGGCCGTGGCGGTCTCCACGATTTCCGCTCTCCGCCGCCCGGCATGGGCCTCAATCAGAACCGCGGCCCCATGGGCCCAGGCCCAGGCGGCCCTAAGCCCCCGATTCCGCCGCCGCCTCCGCACCAGCAGCAGCAGCAGCAGCCGCCGCCGCAGCAGCAGCCGCCGCCGCCACAGCAGCCGCCGCCGCATCAGCAGCCGCCGCCGCACCAGCCACCGCACCAGCAGCCGCCACCGCCGCCGCAGGATTCGTCCAAGCCCGTGGTTCCTCAGGGGCCCGGCCCCGCTACCGGAGTAGGCAGCGCGCCTCCGGCCTCCGGCTCTGCCCCGCCCGCTACTCCCCCGACCACTGGGGCCCCGCCGGGACCGGGTCCCACCCCGACCCCGCCGCCCGCCGTCACCTCCGCCCCACCGGGAGCGCCTCCGCCCGCGCCGCCTAGCAGCGGCGTCCCGACCACTCCCCCCCAGGCCGGCGGCCCGCCGCCTCCACCTGCGGGCGGCCCGGGCCCCGGGCCTAAGCAGGGCCCGGGACCCGGAGGCCCCAAAGGTGGCAAGCTTCCTGGAGGGCCGAAGCCCGGCGGCGGCCCGGGCCTGAGTGCTCCCGGGGGCCACCCCAAGCCGCCGCACCGAGGAGGCGGGGAGCCCCGTGGGGGCCGCCAGCACCACCCTCCCTACCACCAGCAGCACCACCAGGGTCCCCCGCCCGGCGGGCCCGGCGGCCGCAGCGAGGAGAAGATCTCCGACTCGGAGGTGAGTCTCCAGCAGCCACCCGTCGGTTCCCCTAAGATGGCGGCGCCCCCCACCCCCCGTCGCCGCGCGAGCCTCCATTTTGTCGGCGGCCGGAAGGGCGCCTGCGCGCGGGGGCGGGGCGTCCCGGCGGGCGCGCGGCGTCGAGGTCTCTGTTCCGCGGGGAGATTGGCTGCCCGCGCGTCTGGTGCCGGTGATGAGCCTTGGATCCAGTGTAGGGCACGTCGGGAGGTGTAGGGTTGTAGAGAATCGGGCTACTGTCACGGTTTTAGTCTCCTACGATTTAGATAAAAACCGTGTTTGTCTCCTACGATTTAGATAAAAAACTGTCGGCATGATATATATGTATCAGTGTATATGTACGTGTTTGTAGAGGGCTTCCGTTTTCAGGAGCATTCTGGATTGTTAGATACCCTTTTTAATGATAGGGCAGTGATTATGCCGGAAATCACACAGATATATATGTACGACATGATTGCGTCTCTAGCGGACCAGAAAACATGCAGTTCAGAAAATGCAAGAATTTGTCATGGTTTTCAATTTGCAGAGGTCACTGGTGTCTGAAAATTGATTTCCTTTTTTTCATTAGGGGTTTAAAGCTAACTTGTCTCTCTTGAGGAGGCCTGGAGAGAAAACCTACACACAGCGTTGTCGATTGTTTGTTGGGAATCTCCCCGCTGATATCACAGAGGATGAATTCAAAAGACTATTTGCAAAATACGGAGAACCAGGAGAAGTTTTTATCAATAAAGGCAAAGGATTCGGATTTATTAAACTTGTGAGTATAATTTATTATATGTAGAATTAAAAGATGGGTTTTCTTTGCTTTTGTTTTTTGCAGAACGCAAAACCAGATAGAATAAATTGTTCATTCAAAAAAATATTCTGTAGAGTGAGTAATTGTTGGTACCTAAGAGAAGAAAGGTGGTCGGGTGGGTAAGGTATTTAAGTACTACCCCTAGTGGTGTCCGGGAGGGCTACCTGAGGGTAACATTTGAACTGAGTTGGAAGAAGTAGAAATTTGGTTTATAACAGTTTGAAAATGAGCATTAGCCAGTTATGAAGCCATTAACGTGAATGTTTTAATATTTGCAGGAATCTAGAGCCTTGGCTGAAATTGCCAAAGCTGAACTTGATGATACACCCATGAGAGGTAGACAGCTTCGGGTTCGCTTTGCCACACATGCTGCTGCCCTCTCTGTTCGTAATCTTTCACCTTATGTTTCCAATGAACTGTTGGAAGAAGCCTTTAGCCAGTTTGGTCCTATTGAAAGGGCTGTTGTAATTGTGGATGATCGTGGTAGATCTACAGGGAAAGGCATTGTTGAATTTGCTTCTAAACCAGCAGCAAGAAAAGCATTTGAAAGATGCAGTGAAGGTGTTTTCCTACTGACAACGTAAGTTGTCTCTGGTTTACTCTAGTCATTTCTTATTTGTTACAACTTACAAGGATGTTCTATTAAAAGTCTGGAACAAAGTTGAGATGAACCATTTTTGTTATTAGAACTCCTCGTCCAGTCATTGTGGAACCACTTGAACAATTAGATGATGAAGATGGTCTTCCTGAGAAACTTGCACAGAAGAATCCAATGTATCAAAAGTAAGTTGAAAAGGAAACTTGCTCTAGTAATTTTTTCCGGTTTTGCTTAAAAGATATGAAATTTGCGGGTGGGGTACTGGGGATTTGAACCCAGGGGTGCTTTTATCTCTGAGTTGTCTTCCCAGCCCTATTTTTTGTTTTGAGGCTGGGGTCTTGCTAAGTTATTTAGGGCCTTGCTAGGTTGCTGAGGCTGGCTTTTAAGTTTGGAAAGTTAGGTTTCAAAGCTGTCATTTAAATGACTGTTTTTAATGTAGGTACTTTCACATGCAATCCTGTCATGTGCTTACAGTTGCATGAAATGCGTTTTCATGGATGGAAAATACAAGCCTGGGTAAGGAATTTGGCTAGAGGAAAACATTAGGAAATGTGGAAGGCAGAATTTGTCTTCCAAATTTTGTTATTGTGTCCCTTTTTGTTTTTATTTTACATCTTAGTTTCTTACTCTTTATTAAATTGTTATAACTGACTGTTATGAGTAGGAAGAACAGAATGAGAGAATAAGGGATGCAGGAAATAGAAAGAAGGATGAGGAAGTAGTTAGTTGGTTTTTTTTTTTTTTTTTTTTTAATTTTTTAGTTGTTAATAGACCTTTATATATTTATATGTCGTGCTGGGAATTGAACCCAGTGCCTCACACATGCCAGGCAAGTGCGCTACCGCTGAGCCCCAGCCCCAACCCCGGGGATGTAGTTTTTAATCTTCGTTTTTAGCAAGTGATAGGCTAGGGAAAAGATCAAAGTTTTTTTTTTTTTTTTTTTTTTGCAGTGCTGGGGACCAAACCCAGTGTACATGTTGGGCAGATGCTCTACTACCAGCTGAGCTACTTCCCTAGTCAAAGATTTTTTTTTTTTTTGGAAGTGGAACAAGTAATATTGCCTTTACAAATCCACAAAATGGTTCATGTTTAAATATTGTGTTATCAGGGAGAGAGAAACGCCACCTCGCTTTGCTCAGCATGGCACGTTTGAGTATGAATATTCTCAGAGGTGGAAGTCCTTGGATGAAATGGAAAAACAGCAAAGGGAACAAGTTGAAAAAAACATGAAGGATGCAAAAGACAAGTTGGAAAGTGAAATGGAAGATGCCTATCATGAGCATCAGGCAAATCTTTTGCGCCAAGGTAAAGGCCTTCCGGATTTTATTGGTAGGATCAGTTTATTGAGTTACCAGGATCTTATTAATGTGATACCAAAATAATACTTTCTAATGTTCAGATCTGATGAGACGCCAGGAAGAATTAAGACGAATGGAAGAACTTCACAATCAAGAAATGCAGAAACGTAAAGAAATGCAATTGAGGTAAAATACTGTTGATTCTTTGTTTTTGTACTCATAGTCTGACATTTAGGAAACAGTGTACTCAATTTTTCAGGTGATACGTATCAGTGCTCAAAATCAAATGTAAGGATATCAAGTTTTCTGTGTGTGTATATATGTTTTTTTGCGCCACAATGTCTAATGTTGTGCCTTTAAGCTCTGAGCCTCACTCTCTAGACCTTTGTGGGGAGTTTGTTTTGTTTGCTTATTTTTTTTTTAATATTTATTTTTTAGTTGGACACAATACCTTTATTTATTATGTGGTGCTGAGGATTGAACCCAGGGCCAGGCGGATGCTCTACTACTAAGCCACAACCTCAGCCCATGTTTGCTTATTTTTTGGAATGGATTTTTTTTTTGTAAGGATTAGATGGATGCAGAATACCTTTATTTTTATGCAGTGCTGAGGAGTGAACCCAGTGCCTCACACATGCTGGGCAGGCACTCTGACACTGAGCCACAACCCCAACTCTTTATTTATGTATGTATGTATCTATCTATCTATCTATTTTACTGTGTTCTTACACCATCTAAGGCTCTTAGACATATTACTACCAGCTTTTTTTCAAATTAGATTTTAAAAGATGAGGTTGATACTTTGGCTTACGCTTGATTATGTTTTCAGGCAAGAGGAGGAACGACGTAGAAGGGAGGAAGAGATGATGATTCGCCAACGTGAGATGGAAGAACAAATGAGACGCCAAAGAGAAGAAAGTTATAGCCGGATGGGCTACATGGATCCAGTAAGTTAGGGTTTGTTGGCATTCTAGGGAGTTGTTTATAGAACTTGTAGGTACCTAAGGTGAAATTTGACTCAGTTGAATAAAAAAAAAAAAAAAACACAGTATAGTCTACCTTAAAATGTTGGCCATGGGCAGTGGCACATGTCTATAATCCCAGTGGCTTGGGAGACTGAGGCAGGAGGATCATGAGTTCAAAGCCAGCCATAACAGTGAGGCTGTAAGGCACTCAGTGAGATCCTATCCTGTCTCTAAATAAAATACAAAACAGGGCTGGGGAATGTGGCTCAGTGGTCAAGTGCCCCAGAGTTCATTCCCCGGTAAAGCCAGGCCCCCCCCCTCAAGTAGTTATATATGTATATATATATATATTTTTTTTTGATTTGGCCAATCTAGTGATTACTTTTTCTTTCTTTTTTTCTTTTTTTAAACAACTGTACTATGTTTGATTGCGATGGTTCTTGTTTTTCCTATTCTTTGTATGGGCCCGAAGATGATTGAACTGGAAGGTTATGGTGTTTTTTTTGTTTTATCAGTTCTTTTGATAATAGGAAATAGCTAGTTTTCAGTTTTTTTTTTTTAATACTTTAGTTGAAAGAAAAATGCCTTCTGAACCTTACAGTTCTTAAGTCTTAAACTTTCTTAATGTGCTTGTTGCATAGGTGAATTAAATTTTTTTTTTCTGTTAGAGAGAAAGAGACATGAGAATGGGTGGTGGAGGAGCAATGAACATGGGAGGTAAGCATGAAAATTTAAGTCAACTTTATTACCAGAGAGCAGTGTTGTGGTGGAATCCTAATCACTCTTTCTGTTTCCTAGATCCCTATGGTTCAGGAGGCCAGAAATTTCCACCTCTAGGTGGTGGTGGTGGCATAGGTTATGAAGCTAATCCTGGAGTTCCACCAGCAACTATGAGTGGTTCCATGATGGGAAGCGACATGGTAATGTATCCTGTGGGACGTAGTACAAAGGAAATTCTCATTTTCATGACTTAATGTGTGTGTTTTTTTTGTTGTTGTTTTAAGTAGGTGACTGGACCTCTTTTAGTTCTCCCTATCATGTATATATATAATTTTGAGGAATACTTTGGCAACACAGAAGAACTCTTGTGTGGTAACCTAAACACGGTTGCCAATGAGGAGTCAATGCTGTTAGTAGTATGTGGAGTTATCTTTGGCAATAAGTACATGTAGGTGTTTTCCACTTTTTTGCTTGTGCACTTTTGAACCCCAGTGCATGGCAAATCCAAATTCTTTGTTAGGTAATGTATGATTATTCTATACACTCAATTGAGGGTAATCACATGGCAAACTGTCATTCTTTAAGCTGGTATTTGCCATAAATGGGAATCAGCCTTGTAGTTTGTAGCTTTAGGCATGTTTTAGTGATATGTAGAACTTTGACCTATATGTGGTGTGGCTTCTATCCCATGAAAGAGAATTGTTTAGTGTTTTGACTCGTCGTTTCCCACCTGTTGGGTCTGTTTGTAGGTACACCTTCTAAAATAAACTGACATCTCTATTTTGCTACAGGGTAGCAAAAGTCAACAATAAATTTAAGCATACTAATTGTGTGCATTTGATCTCAACCTTCTTGATGCTATTATGTTAGCTATATGGATAGTCTGTCAGATGCTTTAGAACAGTCAAGTAAATTGATGAGTGGCTGTATTAGGGCTTTACAAATCCTCAGTTCTGAATTTTGGTGGGCTTAGAAAAGAGTACATTTTCATAGCTGATTGAATCAGATTTAGTTTTCCTATGGGCTTTTGGCAGAGATGCGCTGCAGTATGTGGCTCACATAATTTTTATCAATAGAAACTTTAGAATTTAATATGAGACTTTATCTACTTAAAATATATCTAAGGCTTTTTGACAAAGTTACAACTCTAAATTGATGGTTGTGTTAAATATACCATTAGTTTTATCCAGCTGAATTTTAAAAACTGGGTAATGTTTTGGTATTTAAGCTTCATAAAAAACAGTTTAGGTACGTATTAAATTTGTAGACTCAAATTTGATATGATGTTCCCACAGTTCAGGTTCTATGTGGCTAAGTACTAGAATTTTTAGCTGTTCTAATAACAATCTTAAACCCCCCAAATCTTCATCTCTTTGAGATAAAGTATAATATGTAAAAACCGTACACAATTTTAAAAATTTTTCAAGAGGATTTCCCAAGTAGTTTTACAGTATTGGGGGAGAAGGTGAAATTATATATATAGGCACAGAGCAGCTAAATCGTAATAAATCATTTTAGGACTTTTCTTTGGAATAAAACTGAGTAAGTGGGCTATTTTAAATGGAATTTAAGACAGAATAGACTGCTATGCTTACCTTCCTATAGAGTCTTGCTGTCTGGGTACATAACATTTCAAGTCGAGAAGTACCTAAAACCTACTCACTGCTTTATTGCAGTCACTTTAGCTTGGTGTTAAACTGTTTGTGGAGCCTTTTAAAATTTCTAAAGCATGGATTCATAGCAAGGTTTCAGTGTACTTTTTAAAGACCTCAGGGAAAAGTTGGGCTGTTAGTGGGCTGTATGTTTGCAACAATGCAGAATAGTACTGTGAAAGTGAACATAATTGTCTCTGGTTTTATAGTGATGGCTCTGAAGGTGGTGTACCTGTGAGAATATGGCAACACAAGTTTTTGATCAAGTTACTGTGCCGGTTAAGTGACTAAATCTATTAGTTTTTTTATGCCTTTTCTTTTTGTAGTCTGGTAGCATTTTATTAAAACTTTCAACCTTTTAAGATTTCTGCAACTTAGCAGATGTGTCTTAAGATCTTGAAAAGCACAAGGTTTCTTAAGCAGCACATGCCACTGACTGGTGAGTAGGTCTTGTCACTTCATTGAGTGAATTGACTCTGTCTGGATGGGCTTGTTAGGCTTACTTGGAGAGTAAATTTTCTGTTCATACCCTGAAAGTGAGAGTTTGCAAGTTTTCATTGGATTAATCTGATGTGAAATTTCTTAGAACGCATTTTGGAATGGATTTTCACATCTGCACTAATTCTTAAATTTTTTAGCACTACAGGGAAGATCTGTTCTTTGAAACAGGTGTATGAGAATGGCTCAAGTGGGAACATACCACAAGGCATGTATTATCGTAAACTAATTTTCAAATTACCCTTTTTTCCTTTCTATGTTCCCGGTACCTGTGGATCGACTCATTGGTGATTGTATCGACGAACGTTGACTACGGAACCTTCTAAAATATTTACTTAACACACATGGACATCAACTACATATAATGAACTGTTGATTACTGTTCCAATAGCGTACTGAGCGCTTTGGGCAGGGAGGTGCGGGGCCTGTGGGTGGACAGGGTCCTAGAGGAATGGGCCCTGGAACTCCAGCAGGATATGGTAGAGGGAGAGAAGAGTATGAAGGCCCAAACAAAAAACCCCGATTTTAGATGTGATATCTAGGCTTTCATTCCAGTTTGTTTTTGTCTTTTCTTGTTTAGATACCACTTTTAAATTCTTGCATTTTAGTAAGAAAGCTACCTTTTTATGGATGTTAGCAGTTTATTGACCTAATATTTGTAAATGGTCTGTTTGGGCAGGTAAAATTATGTAATGCAGTGTTTGAAACAGGAGAAAAGTTTTTTCTTTTTACTTTTTCTTTTCTCTCCTTTTTTTTTTTTCTTTTTTTTTAAACTGTATAATGTCCCTCAAGTTAATGGCAGTGTACCTTGTGCCACCGAATTTCCAAAGTGTACCGATTTTTTTTTTACTGTGCTTCAAATAAATAGAAAAATAGTTATAATACTGATCTTCAACTTTGCCATTCATGCTTCTATGCACATTAGGCTAGGTATTCCACTTTGAAAGCATGAGAGTGTTGAGGCCTTTGAATGGCAGGCATATGCCATTTCTGGGAAATGTATGTGGAGGCTAAGTATTGCTTTCTACAAGTAATTGCCCCCTTGTTTTAAAAAGAAGAAATGCAGATTTGAAGTAGTTCACGATTGTTCGGCATTATAGGAAGCAAGCTGGTGCTAAGTATTTTTAAATGGTTATGTAAGCAAAGCTGAACTGTAAATCTTCATTCAGGAATATGTATTAAGATTATGGAATGGGTATAAGACTTGGTAGGGGGAGAAAGTGGGTTTGGTTAATGGATCTTTTATGGCCCTATGATCTATCCTTGGAAGTTTTTGAAAAAAGTGGAAAGATCATTTTGTCGCATTTTCCCTATTCTTGTTTTTAAAAGAACAACAAATCCCAAGCCCTACAAATGGCTTGTATTGAACTTTTACATTTGAATTAAAGATTGTTAAACATAAGCCTTTTCATGTATTACTTCAAGTGATTTATAAAGCTGGGGCTTAGTTTGAAGAATTCAACTTGAAAAAGTAAAGTAAGGTTTAGTTAACTGTAAAATGGGTTTAGTTCTATTTACATTCATAGTCTTTTTAACTTTTACACCTTGTGCTACTTCTGTTGGGAAAAATCTGTAGACTATAAAGATCTTGGTTTTCTTCTTAAGAGCTAGTGGTGACTTTTAATAACAAATAGGGTTGCAGATAACCATTCTTACAAATTTGTTCACCTGTTTTTAGATAGTTGCTTTTTGATGTAGCACTAAATCTCAGTGACTTGCTCATGCTACACAGTACAAATACCCCTTCCTTCCACCATAAAGCTTTGGAATGTTTCGATGGTGTTGTCAGTTAATTGTCAACTTCATTGAATTTCCTTCCATTAGAAAGACTTTTTGATTCAATATTAAAGTAGATTGTTTACTGTTGTCTGTCAGTACAGTGGGAGCTTGATTTCCCAGTGCAAATATGTTAGAGGAACAATTTCTAACAGTAGGTAAAGTAATTGAATGGTTTAGCTTTGTTCTTAGCTATGTTTCCATTCAACTCTACATTATAGAACTTTGGAATATCTTCATCCTTTTCACCTCTGTTCTTGGGGCTAATTGGCAAAAGAAAAATTCTAAATCAAACCTTTTGTTACCATGCTGAAGTTTAGTATTGTTCCTTGAGTACAAAAGGAGACCTATTGTTGAAACAACTGAGTATTTTCTGCATAGGAAAACAGGATAATTATCTAAGTAAAACACTGAAGTGTAAAAAGCATGTCACCAAATTCTGGTTGCAGGGCTGACAGGTACATGGTGTGTTAATTAAGGGAGAGAATCTCCTTAGAAAACGTGCTAATTTTATTCACTGAACACATTTGGAAATGGATAGTTCTTTTACCAAGGAGGAAGTTTTGTCCCAAGTCATTAATGGGTGATGCACACATGGGATTTTGTGTATGGAAACAAGGGTGTTGGTTTGAAAGTAGTCCATTACAATTTGAATTGTATAGTAGGGGACTCTATAATGATAAGAAAGTTAGGGGTGTTCATGGGACACCCACGAGGGTGAACTTGAATGTATGTGGGTGGGGGCTGGAGGGGAAATGGGAAAATCTGCCTATAAAATTAATGTTTCAGTTTATTTTTCAGATTACATGCCTTTCTTTATAAGGGATGCTGGCACAGACCCCTAAAATAAGCTTTTGGTAGTACTATACCTTTGAAGAGTGGTGAAGGATGCTAATGAATAATCTCCTGAAAGTTGTGGCTTTTGATAGCCTACTAAGGGCTGTAGAATTGCTTAAATGTTGTTTAGCAAATAATGTTGCTGAGTTTAAACTGAACATTTGACTTTTATCATGGAAACTGCAGTGTACCAAGGGTTGTAAAGCTACTCAAATGGACTTTCAATAAGTCTTCCAATGTAAATGATAGTTTTTTAGCCTAATGTGAACTTAAATCATCTTAATGAGTAGTTTTCTAAAAGTCAGTGATGAAACTTGGGGTGGGAAATGGAAGGTAATAATTTTGGAAGTATTAGCCATTTTTCTCATTTAAAGAAACATCCTGCCCCTATTTTCCTCCTCTTCCCTTTCTCTCATAATTTTTAAGAGGAACATTTTGTTTTTGAACCTTATGTCTCCAAATCTTTAAAAACTGCATTCTCTTTGAAGATGCTAGTGTATTTCATAGGTGTCTATATAAACTTAACCCATTGGCTCACATTACTTAGTGAAAAACAATCCTTTTTGCCTAGAACATTAAACTCCTAAGAATATAAACCCCACCACTCTTTTTAGATGTGTTATATCACTGATAAAAACAAATAACAATTTGGGAAATTGTAATGTTACGCCTGTGCAATTTTTATAAGTGGCATATTATGGCAGAAAAAAATTTTAGATACTTGGCTTGGGCAAGCCACTAAGTTGTGGCGGAATGTTTTGTGGTGTTCTTGGACTGCAATTATGCACTATTAAAGTAGTGGCCTGCTACATAACTGCATTTAGCCAGCATTTCTGCAGTGCGTAACTGTGAGGAACGTAGTACCGCAAATGGCAATGGACATTAGGACCCGGATGTAGTATTCCTGCTTGCTCCAAGATTCTCATTGCCGACTGCATACAGGTAGGTAACAAGCAATATAATCTAACTTGGTGACTTGCTATGTACTTTTATTCCGTGGGCATTCTGACATCACACTTCTGACAATGAAATTACAGTGCAGCACCTAACACTTGTATGATAAAGCTAGCTTATAGCAAAACTGCGTGGGTCTGGGGTTAGAGCTGTAATTTGTTAGGCAGAAATCAGTGCTGTTGCAGTTCTCAGATAAAAAGTGCAAACTTGATTCTTGGTATATCTGACTCAGTTGTGTGGTTTTCTATAGTTGCATTGTAAATGAAGAGAACATGGAACACATCAGTGGTGTGGGGAAGAGGGAACCAAAACCATACTTGGGAAGGGAAGTAGGGTGCTTTTAGCACCTTGACATGGACCATATAGCATGGATCCATATGGCATGTGATAATTAGTCTCTGTTGTAGCAAACTGACCTGCTCAAAGGTCAGCAATATAAGTAATTTCATTATGTAATCTTGGTAATTATTCTGCAAGTTGAGTGAACTCAGACTAAACTGCAGGGTTTTTTTTTTGTAATGGGTTTCATGGGAACACCTTTGTTACTAACTTGGGCTTAGATGGGAATCTAACGTGAATAGTTTCAAGTTATGTGACTTGTTTAAATACGGTTATACTCTAAACCTGGGGGAAGGTGGTGTGACTTGCTTATAGTTGAATACATGTTGGGAATCATTCCCAATCATAAAACTTCGTCGTTTTCTGTAGAGTGACTGCATTTGTTCAGAGTAGCTTTTTGAACTTGGTTCCCTTAGCTTTAGGGATGTGATGTTACAGTCCAAAATGTTTAGGTACAAGAAAACATAAGTCTTCAAAAAGCACCTTCTTTGTTGCTTAGCTTTGCATCGACTGTTGTTCCAGACCTCAATCCAACTTAACTCTGGTCTCTGGTTTTTAGCTAGTATGCATGAGAAACAGCTTTTAATGCTTTCTGCTCTGTAACTGGAAAGTTTGGTTTACTTTGCATAATTGCCGGTGAAAACTCTTCACAACTATGAGAATTTTCTTTCATTTGTCTCAAGAAAAATGGCTTGCTCTTTGGCAAGTAAGTCACAGGGTGGGGACAGATTTGTACTCTACAGATTTGTAGTTCATTCAAGCAAACAACTTCTGATTTTCCTGATAGATAAAAGAGCAACTGGTGACTAGTTTAGTTTCTTCGTATTAATACAATGCAGATCAAACAATTTTCAGTGTTAGTGACATGAGTACCACTAAAACTGCATAGAACCCTCATGGGGGATTTCCTGTGTCATAATCCATTAAATCGGTGGCCCAATGCTTGCTGCCGTGGTTTAGTGACTGGGTGTTCAGAACTAAAAGCTCAGGTTTATTTCTTAGCAGTCAGTAACAATGTTCAGAGAACTACTTGGTATAATATATGGGTTTAAGGAACATCATTGGGGTGGGGGTTAATTTTGCTTTGTTCTGCTTACTTCAACTTGATTAATCGGCTTTTGCACTTCAGAAAAGAAACCATTGACTTAAATCTATTCTTACTAGTTTTAATTTGTATGAAGCTATGAATTGTGAATCTCAGTACAGTGACTTTTTGAAAAAGCACTCAATCAAAAAGCTGGGAATTAAGTGGGTTTCAGTAATAACGCTCTATACCGAGGTGCTTGCATTGTATTTCATAATCTTTTTTTCTTGTAACAAACCAAAATTTCTTTTTAATGAGAACACTCTTGAGTTCAGAGGTGTGATGCCAGAATGCATTTTCGTACTGTTAGGCCCTTGGAACAGATACCGGTGCTTTCTGAAAGATCAAAGAAATGCAATGGGTACTCTTCACACAAGGTTGCAAACCTACAAAGAACGCATAATAGTCTTCATTTTCCTAATAAAAGGGATGCGTGTGACTAGTTTTGGACTTTTAACATTAATGGGGGTTGCATGTCTCCTATTGTTAATCATTGTCAGCTGCAGTGACATGATCTACACAGTCCTGCATTATTTGCTGCCTTTCCCTTAATGATTCTGGACAGGTTTTAGAGAGCTGGGGTGTTTGTTCTGGGCCTTTACTTGGTTTTGGCTTTAGCTGATACTGTTTCAGTGCTGTCAGCTAGTGCAGTTCTCAAATGGCTGCCTATTAGGGAAAGAATTAGAGGATTTGACTGCTCCTAATCATCTGTCATTGCTGCTAGATAATGATTGGCAATTTTTAAGACTCAACTGTGGAAATCTCACAGTTGCTGGTAAACCATCAACCATAAAATGTTGCTTTTGAACACCAGTGCTGAAAAGTTTTTTTTGTTTTTTTAAGGTGAAAGGGGGGCTGGACGTAGAATAGGACAGGAATAATCAGGAGACTGGGGAAGAATGCAAAACGATATAGTATCCCTTATGGATGGTACATGTGCAACAGGGAATTATATTTCATATACCTGTGGCAGTAATTATACAGGGAGGAAGAAAAACCTGGAACTTGAATTAGGCTGAGCTTTCTGTTTTGTGCACTGTGGCCCTGCCAGGCATATAGTGTGAAGGTGGAATGTCTTCTCCCTCAGAAAACCTTGGGTTCCTTGCTGTCCCAGTAAGGCATAGCTTCCTTGCTCTAACTTAAAAACTCAGTGAAGACTTGGAGGGGAAAGAAAAGGCAAATACATAGGATTGCAGGGTAACAACTGCAGTGTTGTGTACTGTGGGAAGTGGGTAAGGCACTCTTGGAGGACTCCTGCTGAAGGTGGTTAGCCCACCTGAGAATGAAAGGCATACTTGAATGGGGAGCAGGGTATGTGCTTTCATATGAAAAGAGAGCTGATAAATAAAATACTGGGTGAGGTGAACGTTGTCACATACCTTCACATAAGGGATAGTATATTTTGGGTTGCA